GCTGTGATTGTCATTTTAATCACATTAATGATTTCCTGGTCCAGCACTGCAGACTTTATCTTCCTTTGTTTCAGATGTGAGCAAAATTATTACAACAAGTTGTGCATGGTCTCATCCATGCCTTGACCATTTAGTAATATGACAGCTGATGAATGATGCTTGAAGTTCTCTGGAAGATGTTAGCATCTCTGGAAATAGGAGTTCAAGCATGAAGTGAGCCACAGCACTGGAAACTTGAAGGTGGTGAAGGGCACTTGTGAGGATAAAGGCTTCTTTGGAAATCATACAAATGGGGAAAAAAACATACTGCACCCTCAGGGCGCTATTGGGCTTGCTAGTGATTCAGAAATAGTTTTTTAATGAAACCCAAAGGAAACTTGGAGCCTTAAAACACAACAGAAACATTTAAGCCAGTATTCTCATTGCTACATTCACCACTTGGTCCTCTTCACACAGCCAGCAGAGCACAAAGGAGACAGTCACCTCTGCACTAGTTCTTGCTTCAGCCCGTTTAGGTTTGCAGCAGTCTCCAAAACAAATAACAGAGAGCATCAGACCACAACCTTCATCTTCTCAATCTGTAACCTTTGTGATTTTAGCCCCATCTTGCAGTATCCACATAGCCACCTTTATTTTTCTCCAGACCTGTCAGAAAGGAGAAAATGAGGCTGACTGTGCTTCACTCTCACCCTCAGGCACCAGAGTGCTAGGGGTGCCTGCTTTAAATTGCATGAAGCACCAAACCAGCCCTGTGCAGTGAGGAATGGTGGAGTTCTTTTCATGAAAGCATGATGCTAACAGCAGTAGCATGGCATGAATAACTCATCTGGACTCCAAACAGTGCTGGGATGTGAATCCTGGGAGCACCTGAGTCAATGCAAGACTCCGAAGCACTTAAACAGAGCCAACCCTGGATCACACTGCAGAGATTTTCATATCCAGGAGGAAGGGTTTGGATGCAATAGTTCGAAACATTCAGTCCTTCTATACACAGGTAATTTTTCCTCCTTCTCCATTCCTGAGCAGAGATTTTTCTGCATTATCTCTGCAGTATTGAAATTCTGCTAAGAGCAGTTGCTGTAGCACAGCCATCCTCATCCACAGCTCCACAAACACCTGGGGCTTTGTGGCAAAATCAGGAGCAGCAGAACCAGAAGGTCTATGCAAAAAGACATCAGTATAGGAGGCTTACGTGTAAAGAAGCAAAAGCCTGAGTAAATCCTAGCCTATAGGCTCTGTAGGAGGCAAAAATTTCAGAAGTTGCCATGCTGCAATAATCAATGCAGCATATAAATCCAGAAAGACAATTCCATCTGCAGGTTTTTTGTTTGTTTGGGTTTTTTTTTTTTATCCCAGTGTATAAATTATTCCTGGAAAGATGGGAATGGAAATGACAACGCAGTTCCTTCAGGGATCCCACAGCTGAATGAGCTGCTCTCTTCTCCCTCTCTAAAATGCAGAAAGCTGCTCTCACTGTCCTGTTAGTGTAATGTTCATGTTGTGTTATGGAAGAGAGGTGTGCTAGTTTCTGCCCAGACACACGTGGGCATTTTACAGATAACACTGGCTGGGGTGTTAAGCCTTTTTTGCAGCCTAACTTCTCTGTTCTGATGCTGACCCTAGGTCTGACTGGATTTACCAACAAGATCCAAGCCCCTCAGACACACATAGAGATCCAGGCCCATGAGACTCTTCCAGCTGAAGGAACACTGCTGTTCTTAAATGCATTTAATATTGGTATAACAGCAGTTATTAAACGCATGCAATATTTCACAGCAGTATCCAGATGCCCCAGTTAGTGCAAGAGTGAGTTACCTAACCCAGAGCTCTCTGTTGGGCCTGCTTTATGAGCTTTGCAATTCCTCCTCCTTGTCATACAATAAAAGCTCCTTGCTGCTCAGCCTCCTCGTTCCCCTCACTCCAACAAGCAGTGGGAGGAAATTGCTTGCTCTGCCTACATGTTTTTTTCCCATGCATCTGCTTCTTTTCACAATTTCCTTCATCCCAGAATAGCACTGAGACATCCCACCTTATTTTTGATGAGTGGTGGTGAAACTAGAGGAGGGCTTCAGACAGCATAAAGCAAAATCCCCCCCAACCAGGTATCCCAGTCCCACCTTCCCGTGGGGCTTCTATGCTCTCCATGCCCAAGTTCAAGTCAAAGGACAACTAGTCACCACCATGCAGAAGGCAGAAAGTAGGAGGAGGGATTGAAGGAGGAATTAACAGCAAAGATGGGTCACAAGGACTAATTTCTGCACACCCTGCTTACTGCTACTGCAGCTTCCATTTGTTAGCTCCTTCTTCACATGCCTATAGGGAAAAATAACTCCTTTGTGAACTTGTGCCCCCAAAAAGGGACTGATGGTTATGAGAGCAGTGAATATTGAGAAGTTGAAGCAGGGAAGAATACTCTGATGGTTAGATGGCCAAATAAATGATGTGTATTGACAAAAAAAAAGCATGCTCAAAATTAAACTGCTCAGGATGAGGTTTTAGTCATGTCACTAATTCAGACCAGAGCAAACCACTTAGATAATTGCAAAGCAAAACAAAAACTAACCAAACCCAGACAAGAGGGGACAGTTACCCAGCACTGGGGGCAGAGAGCAACAGGCACATGTGCACAGCAGCACAGTTCACCCTGAAGATATTTTTCATCATCCTGTACTTTACAGGACACAGCTAAGCCACACAATAGGGATGCTTTCCACTTGAAATCAACTCTTTAAAGTTGTTTGCCATCATTGCAAATTCTTTTACTTTGCTACATGCATTCTCAGCACAAGAAATAATCTGATCTTTACAAAAGCAGTGTCCTTCTAGAGCACAGACACAAGGACTTGTTGCTCAAGCTGCTTCTAGAACACAAAGGAAGGAAAAATATGATAGATTAGACAAGAAAGTGTTCAAGGCTGTCAAAAAACAAACATTAAAAGTGACTGTTCAAACTATTATCAGACAGATAAAATACAGAGATTCTTTTGAGCTTATGAAAAATAATCTTCTACATACCCAAGCAATAAAACAGGTTTAAAAGTGCCAACCATCAAAAGAGAGAACTGACAATATAATAGAGGAAAAAAATGCTGCAACTAAGATGGTTTAAGCATAAGGCATCTATCAGCTTGTCTAACACAAGATACCTTCTCTGCCACAAACCTTCCCCCACGTGTGTATTGAGTCAGTGCTTCAATGCCACTGAAATGAGCACGAGCTTGACAAATGGTGGCACATCAGTGGGAAAAGTCACTGTGCAGAAATTACTGGCTTCTAAGTGTCTGCTTTTGTTAATCAGCTGGGAAATAAGATGGAAGGACAAGAGAGTGAGAAATCAGGGGCTGCTTTCCTCTTCCTAGTGCAACATCAAAGCACCATTTCTGGTACCTGCTGGGTTGAGAACGCACATCAGGTGCAGGTCTGTGAGAGGAGAAAAAGCTTGTTTTCCAGTTGTCTGGCTTCACAAATAGCAGCTGAAAGGCCTTCTCTTCAGCCTAGCCACACACTTCAAGCCAACAGTTTCTGTTAAAATCATTTCCAGCCTGGCTAGTATCATATGTAACTATTTTCCCTCCTGAAACAGATATTAGAAGTTAGAACGACTTGCTACAACCAGCTGTAAACTGCATGCCCATAAATAACCACACTCCCCACGTTTCCTTTTTTGACATTTTTATTAATCAAAGACAGGATGACTTCCATATTTGGAGTGATCAGAGAGATCCCAGGATGCCTCCATGGGTAAGATAAGCTTAACCAAAAGATACATTGCAGAATACATCACGGATTTGGAGTAACACCCTTGTTATGACTGGGTGAACTGGTGTCACTGGCACCCTGCACAGCACAAGCAAGGGTCCTCAGACAGAATGTGCCATTGGCTATGGACCACGACTCTTGCAGGGACCTGCCAGGAGCTCCAGAAGAGAATCTGACATTGTAGCTGACTGAGAGAGTCCCTACAAACCAGAGAAGTATCAAAAGTCTGTCTCCACCACTGAGGCAGAGCCACGTACAGAGTATTTCAGCTCCAGACCTCTTACACATAGAAACCAAGCATTTTTTATTCATGCTATATAAATACATGTATATTTTTTTAATTGGCATTTATAGAGTTGCATAAAAGTCAAAATAGAAAGTTCTGCAAGGTTTTGTTTAATACTCTTAGGTGGAAGCTTGAAGGGTTAAGTTTACACATCACTTTTCAACAAAACCCAAAAGCAAACTGCGTGGGCAAATAAACTAGAGGTGCCATTTCATTTCCTTAGCATCTTATAAACAATTTTCAGTATACCAATAAATACTCAGTGCAAAGCACATGCTTAGTTAAATCCTAGACATGGGTAAAGTATAAGGAAAAAAAAAAGAGAAAAAAAGAACCTAGCATGTGTTGCCTGCATGCTCACAGGAATAGAAAAAAAAGTGTTTCTCACTGAAGGTGTTATTTTGATTTGGGTTTTTGAACTGTAGATACTTTCTCCCAAAATAATGGTACTTACAAGGTTACATCCTTGGCTTGTGAAGGAAAACAAATGCTACAGTGATGGAAACAGTCTACATCCCTTGAAACTAAATGTTTCCTTTCTCATCATGAAGGCTGCAGCAGTTCATAGTTATGATCCAACCCTGCTTTTGTTAAGGGGAAAAAAAATAAAAGAAACCCAGTAGAAATGCCAACCAAAAATAATTAGTTTCTGGGATGGTAAGAAATTATCTGCCCAGCTTCTCCACAAGACAACACTACTTCACAAGTTCTTCTCCCCATGAACAGGGCCAGGCCAAAATACCCAAATTCCCTGTCACTGGTAACAAAGCACATCTCCTCCCCACGAGTGCAGACAGTGATCTAACAGAGAGAACCTCACAAACCCCACTTTGAAACCCATAGGCAATGCTTCTGCCCACAGTTAGGAACCGAAAATGCAAAAAGGACAATTCAGAAAGGAGTTAATGATTTCGTATCGTTTCAGCTGGAAAGGACAGCACACAAATCAGGGCTCTTACAGAAGCATCCAGAACATGGTCACCACAGAGGCAATACTGAAGGCTGCTTGGTTAACCCTGGTCATTGTGCTGTCATTGCACAGGTCGTGCTGGCAGCAGAAGAAATCAAAATTATCCAGCTGGAAGAACTCAGCAATGTCATTCACAGTGCACTGGGACGTCTTCCAGCAGGAGGAAGTTCTCAATTTACCTACCAAAAAAAAAATTAAAAATTTAAGAGATTAAGAGACTGTTGAAAATAACACCCCTTTTGGTATGGAAAGAGAATCACTGCCTGGACTGCCATGTACTTGCTTTTTTAGCTTCCTTTCAAGAGTTTAGGAGTTTCCAAATTTGCCTTTGCTAGGAATTCAGTGCAAACAGCCACAGCCAGCCACGCCTGCTGCCTCCCCAGCACTCTCTGCTAGGTCTTAGCCAAAGGCTCAGAAAGATTTCTAGCTCAAGCTCACCAGTGCTTCCAGTTCAGCCCAAATGACCCACTGGGAGATGCTGGGTGGAGTCTGAGTGATGCCTCCTCTGGGGCTCCTGCCAGGGAAGGATGGTGCATCACCCTCTAGCTCCACTGGCATTGCTCCTGCACTGCCCTACAGCACAGATGTTCTCTCCACAAAGCCCAGAGCAAGTCCAGTACCTCAAGCTAGTTTTTGTGCTGAAGACAAGTCCCATTAGGTCGGACTGGCCTCACTTCCAGAAGCCACATGCAGAAGACAGAGCCTGAAGAGCAGGAAGGTCCTCCTATTTCTCACTCATTTCCCATGACACCAGAGATCAGACACCTGGTTGTCCACCTTCCCTGGCTTGACACCTCAAGTACTCCACTCCCGCCTCTGACAGTGGACAACCACTGTAGGCTGCACGCTTGCACAGTTTGTGCTCATGAAGGTGTAGGCTTAAGGGAGGCAGCAAAAGAGAAAATCCCTTAGGATGCAGGCAGCACTCTGGTCCAGCAGCATTAGATGCTTCCTTCCTCCATACCAAATCATAAGAGTTAGCAGGGACCATACCAAGAAACTCAACAGTCCCACCCCATCTGGGTTCCCACTGCCCAAAACCAGCCCAGGTCTTTTTAAGGCAGAGGGAACCAGTTGGAAAAGCAGATTATTTCAGGTCACTCAGTGCTTCTGCTTTTTACAATGGGATTCCTGTCATGGTAGTAAAAATATTATTTAAATGTTATTTGATAACTAGAGCAGTAACTCTATGCCCTGAATATCTTTGACCATCTTCCTGAGATGCAGGTCACTTCACCCTCAGGAAAAGAACTTATTTTAAGTGTCAATTCCTAAACGACCAAGTCCTCACCTGCAGGTTTATTTTGTGGGTTACACATGATTTATCTGCTTTTAAAGTCTAACAAATTCAGGGCAAAGGTTTTGTATTTTAAAGTCAGTGCTGTCTCCTATTTTTCTCCAGCTCCCTTGGGTGCTGGGGTGGTTTGGTTTTTTTTAATCTGGATATCTAGATATCTGTGTATGGACTTGCACAAGTACAAATCAGCTATCTAAATCATAAATAGCTTTATCAGTGGCTTGGCTATCAAAAGTATGACCTTCAAAAGTATGTGTTTGAGTGAGGCTCTGAAGTGCCTGCTAAGGCCAGATGAGAAGTGTTGCAGGCAATGAAAACTGATACAAGGCTGTTTATTTTAGGTCTGTAGGACAGAATACATACCAAATTTCATCTGCAGGCAAGTATCTTCAATCGGTAAGCAAGTACTGTTGGTCTTGCACAAGGAAGGGCTGTTCTCACAGTGGTAACACCTTAGGGCATAACCTAAGAAGACAAAGGTTTCTCTGCTGAGTAATAAACCACTGAAACAGCATTAAAAAGGAAAAAAAAACCCAACCAACCCAAGACTCGCTATCTGCATCTGTCCCAGAACATATGCCTGGTTATTAAACTGAAGACAAGCTAAAATTTGCCAGCTTTTTTTTCAGTGTACAAATCGAGGCTGGCCATTTTGAAAGGAAGATTTTGAAGCATTCAACATCATTTTTAAGAGCACTTCCCTTTATGTGCCTGCAGAACAATCTATTAAACACTTGCTGCTTTTACCTGCTCGTAAAGGCTGCCCTCTCCAAAAGGACAGAGGGGACACTGTCAGCAGAATGTGATTCTGGCCCTTTATCATCTCATCTCAGTTCTCTCTTGTGCTATACACCTAGTTCCCAATTTATACAGCAGCAAGCCAGTCTCCTAGCAGCAGAGCACAACACTCTGCTGCCATATTAAGCAGCACCATACTCTGCACCCAGTTCCCTCTTCTGACCAAAGACAATCTGCAACAGCAGCTCAGCCTTGCTTTGTTATTGTCATTCCTCAACGTGGCATTAAATCATCCAGACCTTTCTTCTTGTTTTTTTTTTCTTCTCAGGCCTTTTTTTGTTATTTTCTCAGCCCTTTCATAACATCACATCAGGAAGACACCTCCTTTATACTCACCAGAACTACAAAAAGCCAGCAGCACCAGGCAGGTGGTTAACAGGATGCAGTTCATCTTGGTCATGTTTGCTCCCTAATTTGAAGGCAAAAACAGACATTAAACATTTATTCTGTTGAAAAGCTCCATGAAGCGAGTGAAATACACGGTGAGGAATCAAGGTTTTAAAACCAGATTCAGTCAGGGAGTGAAGGCATTGGCCAGAAAAAAACAGTGAAAGCAAAGAGAGAAAAATAATTTTCAGCTTCCCAAGAAAGGATTTTTATTCTGAAAGCAGGATTTTTATTCTGAGAACAGGATTTTTATTCTGAGAACAGGATTTTTATTCTGAGAACAGAGGTTTGAGCCCTGACAGGCTGTGGATGAGTCTCCTTTCTCCCCTCTGATGACACCCTCCAACAGGCCTCCCAGTTTCTGACAGCTACAAATGCACCTGACAAGAGAGGCCATTCAGGTCTCAAATGCTTTTTCTTTTACACCAATTTCCCAATAACCTGGAACCAGGCTGTGCTCCCTTCTCTTTCACGGGTTGCAAGAGATTTGTCTGCACTAAGATTTGTCTTTTCTCTCCCAAAATTGCTCCCTCTCACTGGGGGACAGACACAGGCAATAAGCCAGCAGGTGACCATGGTGATGGCTCCACGATGACTGTCATCTACAAGCACCACTGAGATTGGAAGGTCAGGATGGTTTCCAACACAGGCAGCTCCAAAGCAGGAGTTATTAGACAGAGCTACAAAAATATCTACTACTAAAAAATCTCAGCTATTGCAGAGCAGACTGTCCAGACCAGGTAGGGAGCAGAGTGGTGACAGAGGGACCATTCTTGTGCTGGAAGGGCATGATTTCATGTTTGTCTTCAAAGCCCAAGTGGGACTCCACGTCCTGAGGAATTAAAGGCATTCAGATAAGAAGTTTCACTAATGATAAGACTGCAGTGAAACAGTCACATTGCTGCTCTTGACCCTGATAATGCTGCTGGAAGCTGATTCTATGTGCAGCTGAGTCTACCATGGCACACCATAATCATGTTGGGATGAAGATTTTTTCTCCCACAGGACTGACTGTGGACTTGAAAAAGATGGTTTCACAGGAAATCAATACTGAAATCCTTCTCAACCTTCAGTCTAGTTCCTTTTTCTACTGGAAAAATAAATAAAAATCAACAACAACAAAAAAAAAACCAACCACTTTTGTTTTATTCCTGTCTGTATGACGTATTGGTGAGCAGGAAAACAGATTAAATCAACGCCATAATGTGCAGGATGAGATGGTTTTCTAGGGTAAACAACTTTATGAGAAGCCACCCAAGACCAGTGGCTCATCCTGCAACGCTGTGAATCTGCAGGAGCGCCGTTAGTCTGGTCGCTAAAGCAAGAGTCATCCTGGACAGGAACAAAAACCTCCTTGGGAACCTCTCCATCTGCCAGGAGCCCCCAGGCAGCCAGCCGAGGTGGCAACAGAATAACACAGTTTTGTCTGTTGGCAAAGTCATGATCAGAATAAATATAAGGCAGATTAATAAAAACCATCATTAACAGCCTTGACAGTAGTAATTCAAGCAACGTAGTTTTGGGAAAATGAGTAATTTTTTCTGTACTCCTGAATGACAAAGAGATGAGACAACAGTAAAATTTTAGCTTAAAAAAAAAAAAAGAGAGAGAGAGATAAAGACAACAATTCATGTGGCTTAAAAGAGACAAAGCAGAAAACATTTTCTAATCTGAACCTTCTCAATTGCTGCTTTAACTCAGGCATCTGATCAATCTCAATAAGCAGAGAAAGCAACTGCAGCGGCAGGAGCAGCTCACTGCTGTGCCTGAGGAACTGTTCCTCTGCAGTCCCACCTGGGAGAGGCCACATGGACAAGACAGCTGCTGTTTTCAACATAACCTCAGAGCAGGAAAAAGCCAGAATAGGGTAGTTGGGACGAGCAGCCCCGTTCCTGCGGGTCCGGGGCACTTCAGCAGTCGCTCAGCGTTGCCCCACTCGGTTTGCCGACGCATCCCGTCGCCAGCAAGCACCCGGCAGACGCAGCCTGGCTGGCTCCCGTGGCTGTCTAACTTGGCTGCGGCGCACCCCGGG